GCGCTGCTCTACGGGGCCGGGGGCGCCGAGGACCTGTTGGCACCGGGCGCGCCGTGCGCCGCCTGCTCGGCGGCCTCGTGCGCCAACAACGCCTTCGCCTTCGGCCCGGAGCTGAGCAGCCTCATCACGCCCTTGGCCATCCAGACGCACAACTTCGCCGCCGTCGCCGCCGCCTACTATCGCAGCCAGCAGCAGCAGCAGCAGGGCCTGGCGCCCCCCGCGCAGCCCCCGGCGCCCAGCGCGCCCCTGCCAGCCGGCGCCGCCTCGCCGCCCTTCAGCTTCCAGCTGCCGCCCCGCCTGTCGGAGTCGCCGGTGTTCGACGCGCCCCCCAGCCCCCCGGACTCGCTGTCGGACCGCGACAGCTACCTGAGCGGCTCCCTGAGCTCGGGCAGCCTCAGCGGCTCCGAGTCCCCCAGCCTCGACCCCGGCCGGCGGCTGCCCATCTTCAGCCGCCTGTCCATCTCCGACGACTGAGGCCGGAGGGCGCCGGCGAGGAGGGGGGTGGGGGGCAGCAAAGGCCTTGGATCGGGGCGAAGGGGCGCTGGAAGGCGCCCCTGGAAGACCCCGGCCCCCCGCTGCGGGGGAGGAACGAGACTGCAGGCCGGCGGGTGGAGCACTTGGACTGAACTCTGCTGGGAGCGGCCCCCACCCCTCCCCTTTCGGTTTCCTCTCTCTTTTGTTGTTGTTTTTTGTTGTTGTTATTTTTATTATTATTCAGAAATGTCATTCTTGTTGAGCAAAAAAAGCCAACGAACATTTCGTATCCATGAACAAAAATATTCACAACAAGGCAGTTGTGATGCGAATAGAACAAAACCCAACACTTGAACCATTCGTCGGTCTCGGATGTTTGGGACTTTAGGGGAAGAAGAAGCACCAGCAGCTACCAACCACCATTCCATCTCAACTTGAAAAGCGTTAGTCACACGGTCCCCATGCGGAACTCGGTCTGGAGGAGGGGAGGGGTTCCGAGTGTTTGTCTCAGACCAGTGTCAACAAACCAGCCAGCCCCACCACCTTACTGAACCTCCCTCAAGCTTCTAGAATCCAATATTCTGCCAAGAATATGCCTTGATAGTAGCCCTCGGCCTTAACGTTTGTTTTTTATATATATTCTATATAAAAAGTTTATATCTCAAAAACTGTTGCATTCCAAAGTTTCAGACTGGTTTCCTGTAGAGTCATCCTGCCTGCCCCTCTGGCAGCCTTGGACAGAGCTTAGTTGTTTGTTGGGGAGTAACTGCTGATTTTTTAGCTGTTTTGAGCTGATTCGCACCACTGCACCACAACTCAATATGAAAAACTATTTAACTTATTTATTATCTTGTGAAAAGTATACATTGAAAATTTGTTCATACTGTATTTATCAAGTATGATGAAAAGCAATAGATATATATTCTTTTATTATGTTAAATTATGATTGCCATTATTAATCGGCAAAATGTGGAGTGTATGTTCTTTTCACAGTAATATATGCCTTTTGTAACTTCACTTGGTTATTTTATTGTAAATGAGTAAAAAAAATCTTAATTTAAGAGATTGTATGTAATATTTATTTCATTAATTTCTTTCCTTGTTTACGTAAATTTTGAAAGATTGCCTGATTTCTTTACAGAAATCTTATCTCGATGCTGTGGAAGTAGTTTGAAGAATATCTTAATGAGTTTTCTTGGAATGTATAATGGTTGTAGCCCATCCAACTTTAAAGGAAAAACAATGGCCACATCGTTTGCAATCAGACTTAGAAGTGGCATACTTTTCCAACTTCAACTTGACAAATTAGCAAGTATTTTTGTTTGTTTGCTTGCTTGTTCCACCAGCTCTACTGTGACATACTAAGTATACATACATGTAGCAATAATGGGGGGGAGGGTGTTAGTTTCGCAGTGCCTATGGAAGGGCCAGAACTTGCCTTAAATCTTCCTCAACCAAATAAGTATTGTTCCTAGTGCTTGAGAGAATTTGAATGTAGGATGGGTTCAACTGCACAAAAGGAAAAGATTTTACCACTTTTTTTACATAGATATAAAGTGAAGAGGACACCTCTTAATGCTGAAAACATGTTATATATATATAGTACATGACTATGCCTTGTTTAATTACAGAAAATCCCAAAACTTGTACTATTTCTTTTTTTCCTTGTAGAAAGACGGGAACACCTTGCAGGTGTTCCCGGGCAGTGGATGAATGAGCAGTAGCATTTAGTTCGTACGTAGGTACCCTCGGAGCACTATGTATGTATGTATGTACTCTGGACTACTTTGACAGAAGTAGCTTTTTGAATGTAACAAGATAAGTCAACTTGAGTTGTAATATATTTTGGGGAATCAGTTCACTACAAATTGTGACTGTAAACATTGTACTGTAAATGTTTTGTAGTTTCCCCCCAATAAAATTTTTGGGAAAAAAAAAAAAAAGCTAACTGTGAAGCTAGCATTCTTTTTAAGCAGGACTACATATCTAGGTCCCCAACTTCCCAGCGCTTTGCCAGGGACTTCTCAGCCCTCAGAAAACTGGCATATCCTGGGTTAGGGCCTGTAGCCCCACTCACCCCCGTATGTATTTATACCAAGTTCTGGTAGCTGGAAGAAAAATGTGGACTGTCAAGGGCAGGAGTTAGCTAGCTGCTCCCCTTAGTAATAAGATGCATCCCAGGGCCGGCCTGTGGGAGGCCTAGAGGGGTGTGGCGGGCCTGTGAGTCACCAAGTGGGTCACGTGGCAGCAGAGGCAGCTGAAGGTCCCATTTTTCACTGGGAACAACTGCTTCGAGTAGGAGGGGCCTCTGGGAGCCTGTGTCCTGCAGTGCTGGAACCCTCCTGGTTAGTGGCAAGAGCCCGCTTTTAGCTTGGACTTTGGAAAACCTGGCTTCTTGTCCAGAGAGGCGGGGAAGGGAAGGAAGATTAAACAGGTTAAACATATCTGAGTGATGTTTGTTTACACAGACAACTTCCTCTAGGAGTGAGCACCCACAAGTCCGGGGTGGGGGTGGGGGGAGGAGGGAAATGGTGTGTGTGCTTTCAGGCAGCCTGCAAGTGGCTGGAAAGCAAAGGAAGGGGCCAACCCCGCCTGGATGGGCTGACTGTTAAACGTGGACTTACATTTTAGTATGAAGATGGCATTTGTCCTCCCCAAACCGAAGACTCACTGCCATGGATGCCAGTGCAGAGTAAGACAGGGTAGAACTGGCCCCCCTGGCTTTCCAAAAGGCACTTCCGCAGGAGTGGAAAGCCACCTTTTTCCTCCCTGCAGAGCAGCCGGTGGTTTCAAACAGCTGACCTTGTGGGAAGCAGCCCAACCTGTAACCGCTCAGCCACATGCCTAACACAATCCCTCTAAACAGTTACAATCAGGTGTACAAATCAATTCATGTTTTCCTCCCACGTAACCTACAGTTCTGACACTTTTTCCAAAGTAGGTTCGAGATTCAGCAATGTTTGTTTGTTCTTTAATCTGCAACAGCTGGGCTCTAGCAACCAAGGCTGCATCCCCTCTCTCTGGGCCTGCCTCCGCCGGGGTCTCCTGTGACTCACAGCTGAGCCCCCGAAGGCCTAAGGGGCAGACTGGTGTATCCCGCCAGGCCTGGAGCAGCTGTTTCCCGTTAGCGATGATTGCACTGGTGTTAACTGGAGCATTTTGGTGCTTGGCACACGCTGCCAAAAGGGGCTGTGGAACAGTTTCAAAGTTCTCCCAGATGCCGGGCCCCTGGCTGAGAGCGTCGGCGGTGGGGGCAGGGGAGCCAGAGGCCAAGGCAGGCTGGGGCAGCCGCAGACCCCGCAGGCTCCCTGGCCGCCTCGCTGTAAAGAATGCAATGGGGAGGAAAAGTCTACAATGTGGAGTTATTTAGGCCAAGCTGCATTTCAAAGGCCCTGTTTCCACTTCCATTCCAAAACTTCTTTTTCTAAACAAGTACTTTTGATCAGCTGGAATGTTTAACTTCTTTTTGGGGTAAGCCACAGTCATTTTTAAAAATTAGTTTGTTTGAAAGCCCAACGGCTAGGATCTGAAGTTTTGTATTTTAGACCCAGTGGACCGTGGAAAGCTGGCGTGGGCGGGGGAGGGGGGTCATTCAGAAATCTCGCGCTGCAGATCAATGGAGGGTCCGTTGGTCAGTCTTTCTGCAGCGGCTGGAATTAAGGCCACACCACGCTCTGGGCTACTGCTTGCTTCGCTCTTAGGAACGTTTTCTCGTCCATGAAGGGAACTAAAAGTGGAAATTGCAAGTAAGGACAAGTGAAGGTTTGGGGAGTGGAACTAAAACGGACTCTGGCTCCAAGACGGAATTGTACTCAAGATAAAATTCTTTTGTAGTCACTTGTGAAAATAAGGCCGGAATGTGATGGCATTTAGAATGTCTTCCGAGGGTCATTTCCATGGCAGTTGGAAGGCTAACGTGATTTGTAAGCACCCCAATGTGTGTGTGCCACCTTCTACATTCTGAGAAAGGCTGCCTGCATGCCTGCTTTTTCCAGCCCTCGCCTTTGCAGAATCCATTCCTGGGCGTGGAAAAGAAGCACACGATTGAGAGGGCTTTGCCTGCCCTGGAGAATAGATGGAGGATTGTGAGTGGCCCGGGGGCAAGGGCCAGGCCTGGCCAACTTGGGTGCAGGGAAGGCAAGAGTCCTTAGCCCCGCAATACTCAAGTTCAGGGTTAAACTTGGCCTGGAGTGGGGTGTAGGACGTCCTCTCAGAAACCACCGCCCGCCCCCGCCACCACCCCCCCATGTGGATGAGTGCAGAGGGCACCACGAGGCAGCCTTTGAACCTGGCATTGCGAACTATCCCAGGTACTCTCCCTTCTTCAGTTTGGCTGTGATGACGTGAGTGAGGGCGGATGTATCTCTGGGCCATGTTTTGGAAAAAAAAAATTTTTTTTTTAAACCGGAAGTTGGGTCTGCACCTCCCTTCCCCGGTGAGGGAGGGTCTGCCACGGGACTGAGGCTGAGCAGAGGCCGCTCTGACCTCGCCGAATTCTATTTCTTTTCGCCGGTTCATGCTCTGAGGGTGTGCAGAGCGGTGGCTCCCCAGACAGTTGCCCTGTGTGTGCCAGTGTCTGGCCAGGCCAAGGAGAGAGGGAGGGCAGAAGGGAGAGCTAGGGCGGAGCCAAGGCCTGGCAGCCGGGCAGGCCTTCCCAGGCTGAGGGGGAAAGAGGTGGGGTGCCGGTCTCGGGAAGCCCCGAACCTTCAGGGCCCACCTGGGACCAGGTGGTTCTTCCCACGTCTCCCCACCGCTCTTGCTAAACCTAGAAGGTGTATGAGTGTGTCCCAGGGTTAGCTTGTGGGTGGATGGGAATGTATCTGTAGGGATGGGGGCAAGGGGTGGGAATCTGTGTCTAGGTCTGTCTCTGGGTTGTGCAAGGGTTTGTGGGTGTTGCTCTGCGTGTGGTACTGTGGCGGGGTTATTCGGAGGTGATGGCTGTGGGGGGCATGTGGATTTGGGGGCTTGTGTGTAGGGCTTGGGGTGTGGGGCCTGCGTCTGTGTTAGGTACATGTGGCTGTGGGGGTATGTTGCTGTGACTCTTTGCATCAGTTGCGGTGTGAGCAGGAATGAGTCAGGAGGTATTGCCGTTTGGGGGTCTGCCTGTGTTTGTGTCTGAGCCCGGGGTTGTGCCTGTATGGGTGTGAGCATAGATCGCCGGGCGTTGGGATGGGTTGGGTGTGTGTAGCTGTTGTGTGAGCAGGTTTGGTTTGTTTTGTTTTCAGCAGACAGCTTTCAAGTTTGAACAGGGCTTTCAAAACCCGGAAATGGAGGCCAGGCTGTCACCCACTTCCTGTAGTGCGGTAGGCAGGACTGGGCTACAGGGGGCCGGGCCCCCAAGTCTACCGGGACCCCCCAGACCCACTGTCATAGTTGGTCACACTGGCAGGTGAGACCGCTCACGGGCTGTGTGGACATTTTTAGAAAGAATTTTCTGGGTGAAGCGGGAGGGCGATCTTTCATTTTCAGCGGGGCAGAAATAGCTCTGTGGGAGAGGAGTTCTTTTACCCTCTGGGGCGAGAGGCAGCTCCGAAATCCAAGGAAAAATTATAAGGGCTTGAGACAGACAAGAAAACTCCTGAGCTCGCTGAAACCGAGTTTAAAATATTTTGCTAAAAATAAGCCTTGTTTTCTTTGTGGATTCCTCTGGCAGTCTGCCCTCCAGTTAGGGTGCTTAGCCGGCCTGGGAAGCTGGGCGGAATTTTTAAAAAAGCGAGTGTTTCCCAGCTGTGGCCTTGGAAAGTTCTGTTTTCCATTTATTAAAGTCCTAGTTTCCGGCTAATTAAAATTATTCTCAAATAAAACTCCATGGCCCAGCGATATTTGATGAAACACAGAATTCCTGGTGACCCCTCTGCAGGGGGTCCTGCTGGCTGGGGGCAGCAGGAGCCCCCTCAACTGGGCCCCAACTGGGTTTTAGTGGGGGTGGGGGCAGGCCTTTGAAATTCAGGCCCCAAGGCCTTGCTTAGGAAGCCCTGCCTGATGACTCAGCTTGCAGAAGGCCAGTCTCTGAGCCAGGTGAGAAGGGCCAGCCGGTGTGTTTTCTCTTCCACCACCAGTC